CATTTACCAATAGAAGGAAAGTCAACTTGACTAAACCCACTTTGGCAGGGACAGAAATTGAGTTCTCAGAAGAGGCGAAGTATCTAGGGGTAACTCTGGACAAAAGGCTCAATTGGAACTCACATCTCCTTAACATTACCAACAAGGCTACAAGGGCGTTTTATGCCTGCCAGAGACTCCATGGTAAAACTTGGGGAATATCACCCAAACTAACGTATTGGTCTTTCAATACGGTCGTGAAACCTGTTGTCACATATGCGGCACTGGCCTGGTGGCCAAAAGCAAAGAAAGCAAGTGCGTGTGCCACCTTGAGCAAGCTACACCGCTTGATCTGTGTGGCCATCACAGGAGCTATGCGCACCTGTCCAACGGATGCCCTCGGTATAATTACAGGCATTCCTCCTCTATCTATTCTGATAGAAAAGGAGGCCTGCTGGAGCTCCATACGGCTGCCCAATGTAATCAGCATGAAGAGTGGAGATCTTTGGGGTCACTTGGAGGTTCTCAAGCCTTTTCTGGATGATCCCGCTATCAAGCTCACAGATATCATGCTACCGAAATTATCCTTTGATAAGCCCTACAAGGTCAGAATTCCTGAAAGGGACTGCTGTAAAGCGATAATATCTATGATCGACAAAGGGTCCCAAGTATGGTATACCGATGGATCAAAGATGGAAGACGGGAGTACTGGGGCAGGCGTGCTTGGACCAAGGTTCCAGAAAAGTCTGCCAATGGGCTCATACCCAACCATATTCCAGGCGGAGATCTTCGCAATCGAAGTCTGTGTTCGAGAATGTCTTCGGAGAAGGACAAACGGGGCCAGAATAAATATTATGTCGGATAGCCAGGCAGCACTAAGGGCCTTAGACTCATTTAAAACGACATCTAGGCTTGTGGACAGTTGTAAAACTCTTCTGAATAGCCTAGGAGCCCATAATAGAGTTACGCTGTGGTGGGTCCCTGGGCATGAAGGGTTTGAAGGCAACGAAAGGGCTGACTATCTCGCAAAACGTGGGGCCCAAACGCGAATGCATGGTCCCGAGCCTTTCTGTGGTACATCCATAGGATACACTGCAGAACTACTTAGGAGTTGGGAGGAATCTCAGATTGCTGCCCACTGGCGTAAGTCAAAGGGAATGAGACAATCAAAGAAATTCATAACTCCTTCCAAGAGGAACTCAGAAAGACTCCGTGAACTCAGCCGGGAGGGTCTTAGGACTATTACAGGCTACCTGACAGGACACTGCAAGTTAAGGTACCATCTAAACAAAATGGGGCTTTCTGTAGAGACGGACTGCAGGTTCTGTGGACTGGCGGAGGAAACCTCGGAGCACATTCTGTGTGACTGCCCGCGTATCATGAATAGCAGACTGATGCACCTTGGGGAACGATTGTCTTCTCCATCTAAGATTTGGAACACGGCACCCTCCAATGTGCTTAATTTCTTGAATAGCCTAAGGTTGGAGTGACCACAATCAGGGTTTAGCACAATAGATCTTTTAGGTCGCAGCGCGAGTATACCCGACGTACTAATAATAATAATAAATATCCGGCTTTGGCGATGATTCATATTTCAACTGCGGTAAAATGGAACCTATTGAAACGTGTAATTCATCTGTTAAGAGGTCCTTCCAGTATTAAGAAAGCAGAGCATATATTGCGACTTTACCTTGGGATACGAAAGATCTTTCAGGTTGCACTTAAAAAACTTTATCCGAAGTATGTTAATGCAGTTCTGTCGTCAAGTCGTTGTCACTAATGCAATTTGAATGCAAATAAATTAAAAACTTATCAATAAAAAAATGGAATGGACTAGAAAAAAATATACTTATATAAATATGATCAAAATAAAGGTAAAGTTAATAAATTTAGGAACTATTGTAAATAAAGTTTATAATGTGGTTATATATATGACATTAAGTGTCCACATATAAATAAATGTGTATGTATATGCGTACTCATCTACATATGTATGTATGTACATTGTTACATAACAGTTTCTTTGAAATCCTCTGCATTCAGAGAATAGTTCATGCCAACTACGTATCAGCATAGTGGTCGCTAGTGTACATTTCATTTGACCCAAAAACAACCGTATTATTAAGGTTCGTGTAAAATCTGCGTGGTTGTGGATGACTACCTACATATGCATGTATGTGTGTATGTGAATTCAGGCTTTGATTCCCACAATTTGAGCAATTGTCTCACTCCAGCGTTTAAGTCATCGCCTAATACAACTTATTTAGTACTTTGAATTTTACCTCAGCAGTTGTAGCTTGTTTACGGTATTATTGTTTGAGCTGCGCATGTTCATGTTTTGCTTTTGGATTTCTTCTTTGTTTTCCAAACTTAGGGAAATTACAGAAATTACTACATTTTCGCAGCATTTATGATGTAACATAAAGCCGGCTATTACAACTATATTTGTGCTTAGGATAAACTCTTTCATTTGAAGATAATTACTCGTACTTTAGCAGTTTTCGCATTGGCTACTTGCCAAAAACACAAGTGGTCGTGACTTACTTTGACAATTGTTGTCATTTCTGACACGCAAGGAAAATACGCGTCGGAAGGTGTTTCTTTCCTAAGGCAAATATCGTAGTTAAAGCGGGAATTATGTTAAAAAAAAGTAACCGAAAAGGTTATCATTTTAATTGGCGTGCATTTAGTGAGTTTTTTTGGTCAAGGTGAGTGGCTAATAAGGCAACAGTGAACTACATTGAACAGCTGCAGTTTTTATAATAGAAAAAATTTAGAAAACCAAAAATGCATTTTAGTTGTTTTATGTGTTGCAATTGCACCATTAATGCAATCAGCTCCGTTCCCCAAAGGCGCCTGATAGCAAACAAAAGACTTAAGCGACAAACCTCATTTCGCAGTTCAATGAATGATTATTTCAATTAAATGCTATTAGATTTAATCAAAGGTATTCAATATTAATTATATGCTATAAAAATAATATCCTGTACTTTTCAGCATGACAAAAGTGACATAACCTTGTATTTGTACGAAACCACGTCGTATATGACCCACCTAAAACAAGCAAAGCAAATGCTAAATTGATTAACAAATTCATCAGTAAATCAAATTAGACTATTAATACCACCGAGGTTATGTAGAAGACAGAGAATTTGTTAAAGTACATTTATTTTCAAGTATGTAGTATATATGTATGTAAGTATGCCTTTTTAAATGCCAGCGCAGCGATGCCATAAATCGCTATTGATTCGTGTTACTATTTCATATCTTTGTATATCTGCAACTAAAAGATTAATCACATAATATTTTTAACAATAATTCTAAAAAGGCGAAGCTACAGATCTGTGGAGTTGGTCGTATAATAGGTAGCTTAATCAAAGCTTTATACGTAAATTGTGAAAAAATTACTAATTTATAAACATTATTAAAAATCTTGTTCTAATAATTTGTAAGGATACTCCCAAATACATGGGGGCTTTAGCGCTTTAGTTGATCCTTCGACTCAGCAATGTGCGGAACTAGTGAAAAAGGAACTGTACGAGTGACTAACATGAGTTAAAAATGTATGTAAGTTAGGTAAAATAACACAATTCGGTAATGCAACTATTTTTGGAAAGGGTAGCTCTACTATTCATGTAGGTTGAGTAAAATATAATAACATGATCATAAAGCAAAAGTGATTTAAAAAAGCTTTAACCCACAGATATTCCTGGACAGAGTTGCCAACTATATAAAAACTAAAATGAGTTTGAATATGTAATTTAAGTAAATCATTTCAAAAGCATGTATTAGAATACGAAGTGGTGTTCTGAAATTTTTAAGGATTGGCTGGGGATTGGCATGTGCCACATCAATCAGTCATAACTTTGCTATAAAGAGGCTGATTAACAACGTTTTTAGGCTTTCTGCTTAAGGCAGTGTCACACGATTGGGCATTTGCCCAACATTTTGTGCAAATCTTATACCAATCATGTGAGTGCACAAATATTTTGCTCTATCCCAACGAGGAAAAAATGTTTTTTTTTTCAAAGTTTTTAATAGAAGTGCGCGGTATTGTAACAATCGTGTGATTGCAACAAAAAATTGTCGTCCCATTTTATTTGTTTTTTTTTTTGCACCAATAACCCAATATAAAAAATGTACAAATCTGTCCAAATGTACCAATCTTAAGACACTGCCCTTAGTTCTGAAGTTAAGTAAAATACATTTTTTCCCGGATTATTGCACACAATGGCTGCAAAATCATAAAACATAATTCCTCAATTATACGAGTATCATAAAGACTTTTTTATGTAAATTTCGCCAACGTTTCTCGCTCAAATATGTATGCTGTGTACTATATAATAATATACTTGTGTGGATAAACAACTAAGTCTGGAGAAAAACCTTCGTTTATTCTAGTGAAGCAGCTTCGCAAGTTTTAGCGGATTTGCCAACATGTTGATTGTATTTAGACGTGGAGCGCGGCAAAACTAATGGAAACGCTTAATATCAAGAATCGTGCAAGTAAAACTAGTCACGACAGCGACCTGGGTACAAATTTGCGCTTCAAAGCACTTTGTTGCTGGTGCTGAACTCGCACACATACAAACAGACATACACACCGAGACCAACTGGCATTGCAATCAATGAATGAATCTCTGCCAATGCAACAGATGAGTTGTTATACCCTTTCCAACTCAATAAAACAAAAAGATATTTAGAAAAACTGTTAAAATTATTCGTTGTAAAATAAGCGCCACTATCGCTTGTCTACAAACGCTTGTTTTTTTTTTGCTTAAATTATTTTGCCGTAGTGGCATTTTACGGTTGAAATCTTTATCTAAGACAGCAGCGTCTTTACAGTGAAGTAAAAAAACAACCACAATTTCATTGCTGCCGTATTTTGTAAACTTCAAATTATCTAATTAACATTTGTATTGTTGTTATTGTCGCCAATGAGTGCGTGCTGTATAATTTAAAAGCAGCAACAGCAACAACATTGCCATCGAATTCGTCGCCATATGTCAACCTCGACTCACCTCTTGACTTTGTTCCAACAACTGTGTGCTGTGTGGTCGTATTGTCGCCGGATAATTGCGCAACTGTGGCGGCTGATGATCTTCATGCTGCTGGTGTTCATGCGGTGCAATAGGACGTATAATGAATTGAGTTGGTTTCGGGCCATAAATAGTTTCCTGTGGATTTTCCGGATCATCAGCGTCCGCAGTGTCGGAGCGATGATTTGCGTAAACAGCTTCATCTTTCGCGCCAACTTGACGTTTATCTTTCGCAGTTTCGTCTGTCGTTGGTGCACTGGCTAGCGTTGACGTTAGCGACGTGACCTCACTTAGCGTTGATGCTGAAGTTGGTATAGCGGCGCTTGCAGCAGATTTGGCATCGTTTGTTGTTTCAGAGTGGACAATTAAAATGCCTGAATTGAAAAAGAAAATGGTTAAAATATTTATTAGGAATTAAATTTTAATTAATTAGGATTATAGAAAAGAAATATGAAAAGAAATGAAAAGATATTTTGAGTTTCATAAATCTAACCGCGACAATAACAACCTCTAGATCTCATACCCTTTCCGTTGGCTCCACAAGCGTGCATTTATGTTGGAGCTACGATAAGAACTAATTCGAGTCAAGCTAAGCTAAGTGAAGAAAATGGTAAAGCGGGTATCACGTATAGTATGTGCATTTATAAAAGAGCATAGTTACGATCAGAAACAATTGAAAATAACGCATAGGAAATGCTCGTTTAACATTTCTTTTCTTAGCTATATCGCTCATATGGCAGCAACAAAATAAACGCACCCTCAAAGCATAGACAGACGGCAGCGTTGATCCGAGCCAACGTCTCGCCTCGCCCACTTTCTCAAACTCCATAATAATGTTATTTAATTTTAAGGGATTGTTTTGAGCAGCCATTTTAAGTAAATTAGCGTCCTTAAATATCGAAATATCAGGCAAGTTCTAAAAAAATTATTTTTATATTTTAATTATATATTTCACTTTACTTTTTTATTTTATTTTATTTTATTTTATTTTTTTTTATTTTTTTTGTTTCATGTTTCATTCTAATTCTTTAGATTTTAAATTTTTTAAAAAAGGCCACAACTTTAATTATATGAAAAAATCTAATAATTTAAGGCGGTAAAAAATTAAAAAAAAAAATATTGTTCGTGGGGTTTGGCAGATGAAATGCTGACTGGTGTAAAGGTCTTCCGAGTAGAGACCTCAGCTGCTACGTAGGTAGGGGTAATCTCCTTGTTCTTTCCCGGTCAGCTAACGCAGGCAGCGTATAGTGCTGGCCTCCAAGTCTACTATGATTAGGTTAAATCGGAATCTTCATCATTTCAAATTTTAGTTTTGAGTTCAGGCTCTTACGTTCTCGTTCGCGCACTCTAAGCAGAGTGCGAATTTCCTGGGGAGAACCTTTGCCCACGGCATAAAGGGAATGAGTTTTGAAGAACCAAATCGGCTTAGTCGGTTCAAGGGCTCATCGAGGTCAATAGCGTGTATCTACCAGTGAATGATATTGCAAAATAGGCATCTATATTGCAATAGGAGCTCACTATTTATAGTAAATCCTTGTCGTGCATAAGTATTTGTTCTCCCTGCAAAGAGATGTGCAATGAACTTGGGACTTGCATTCCTAATACGGGTACTAGATGTTAAATGTGTTTGGATATTGACCACTCTATTGAATTTCAAAAGTGGCGGTTTCCACAGTACATACACTCACTACCTCCAAAACCCCTCTAAATCAGGCATTCGATTTTGAAATCATTGCAGAATAATGGTTAGAATTTGCCTCTTTAACACCACCATATCTAAACTAAAGACCTTGCGAAACTAATAACTGGTAGCAGAAGAACCTCCGCGAACCTTTTGGACATAAACTGGGTAAATATAAAGTGATTTACTTTTGTACTACGACTTAAGGTATCCACACACCTACGCGATTCTGTCGGTGGGAATCTGTTCCGACAAAAATTACAACAATGCCGACCATAGTTTTAAATAACGAATTTATACGATTCTGCCGTAGCGATTTATTCGAACATTCACAGTTCTTCTTTTTGTCGTGCCGATATCGCAGACTGCCGCGCTTTTAGAACGAAAAAGGTCAATAGAAGGATTTTACAATATTAAAACAAAATTGAACGTAAGAAAACAAAACCAATTTGATGCAGAAAAGTTAAGAATTATATTTTTGTTGAAAAATATTTTTTGTTTGACTATAAATTGATAGTTTTTACTGCGATAAATCGCACAGATGTGTGCGTACTTGCTTTTTCGAAGCAGTTACGTCTGTAACATCAAAAACGGTGCGGATTCGTTGCGACAGAATCGCGTAGGTGTGTGGATACCTTTATACCATTCCTGCAGATGAAATAATAATATTTAGAACTTTGGCGATATGTTTTTAAGCATGATAAAAACATAGCAAGGTAGAACCGTTCTCTCAATTTGTCGGCCATGTTTTTTTTGAAGTTTGCCAACATTTTAAAATCATATAAAAGTGAAAATAAAAAATTGAAATTGTTCGAAATTGTTGTTGCTTGAGATTGAAAATGAAAATGTGTGTGTGAGTTTGTGAGTACATTTAAAAATTAAATTGTTTGGAAACGTCAAGAATTTTAAAAGTGACTCTCAGCGGTTCTACCTTACTATATTTTTATCATGTTTTTAAGTACATACAATAAGAAGATGCGATAAACCCTAAAAAGTTATATAAAAGTGAACAGTGGATTCCTAGGTCCAGCGCCCTTAATTAGCCTGTCCAGGGTTGGCGAGAGGGGGGCAGCCGGGCATTTGTCCCGGAGGGATTTGCGGGCCCGGCATCGCCCAACAGCATTGAAGATAACCAGATATTAAAATATATATTCTTGGTACAAACAATTTTGATTATGTTAATAATATCTTAAATAAAATGTACATTAGCATTATAAAAAAAACACTCACTTCGTGCTGAAGTCTACATACTAAAACAGCTTATTTTAAATACGTTCTGGCATCTTTATTTGAGCTTTCATATGCCCAGTCATGACAATTTTATTTGAAAACGGAATTGATTCGACAAGAACTCTGATAAGTGAGTGGGAAATCCAAGAACGTTTAGTGAAGTTTTTGGACTGCAACTTCAAAACAGGCGAAGCTATCGCTGAGCTGATCTGTAGCACTCTACAAAAGCACAACATTTTACTGGCTGACTATCGTGGGCAAGGGTATGACAATGGCAATAATATGATCGGCCTTTACAAGGAGCATAGAGTCATATTCTGAGAACAACTCTCTGGCCACATTCACAGCTTGTGCTTGTCATAGTTTAATTCTATGTGGAGTTCATGCAGTTGAATCTTGTATAGAAGTCATCATGTTTTTCGGTATAATATAGAAATTGAACAATATCTTTAGCGTAAGCCCTCAGGGAATTAAATTTTCCTTGCACAGCATGTCACAAACACGTTGGTCGGTTCGTATGAAACCTTTCGCAGCTCACATTCCAAGATTACTAAAAGCAATTGAAAAAATCGAGCTTATGAATACGAGTCCAGCAACGCTAATGAATCTGAAGGGTATTGAAAAGTATATGCGGACATTCGAGTGTATCTTCCTGGCCCCCATTTGGTTCAAAGTTTTGACGGCAACCAACCATCGAAATCTCTTCCTCCAAGCGGGAAATGCCACACTGGACATGGAAACATAGAACATATGGAGCCTGATTGATGAATTGAAAGCGTGCAGGCACCAATGACCATTAATACTTAAAGAATGTGTAGTTGGCAGTGTAGGCATTACAGATACGTCGCAGAGAAAATACGCAAAATTAGGAAGCGACAGTTTGACGAATCACATGAAGAAGCACCTTCATTCGATTCTGGAACTCAATTGAAGTAGGTAGCTTTCTACGTCCTCATGGCTGCTTGACAAGGCGTTTCGAGGTCGAAAATTATCGTGCAGCCAAATTTATTTTTTGTGAAAGTATCATGATCTGACGGAAAAAGACCTCGGCGGAAAGGCAGTTCCATTCTGTGCGATTTATCGCGTAGACATTTCTATGGATTTAATAGAAGAAATCATCCATCCAAACGCTGTTCATGTAGCAAGTTTGGGATTTGATGGACGGAAGTACTAAGTACGAATATTTTGTTCTGTTCCAGTGGAGCGTTTGTTCAGTCTGTTGTCTCGAGTAAAGAATTTTTTATCTTCTACCATGAGTCAAATCGCTTAATAAGTCCTGAAACATTGACACTAGAGTCCAGGCTGGCTCGTAGTATGAATTTCGTCTCACTAATTTTCATGTTCGCCGACCAAAAACCCCGAAAGAGTTTCTTCGACTGATTAAATTTCTGATGACATATTTAATCTAGTTAATTTAACCAAATCCAACTATCAATGTAAGCATAAGTGCAAGTATAAGTATATATATGTATATCTTAATTAAAATGGATGGTTTGAATTGAACAATTGAACTAATGCTGTTTTACTGAATGGAGTTTATATTTGAAGAGGGCCCATGAACGCGACATGTACCGGAGCTTGGTTAGGCTCTCGACGGCCCTGGGTCTGACATGGGGCACCGTTAGCCGAAACTACTATATCAGGATGAAGATCGCGGACTGATTTTTATTTATGACTTTTATAAATAAAAGTCTTAAATAATTGTTATCTAAAACATTTCATTTAAAAATCAAAATTCACTGTTATTTTGGCTTTATAAAATAAAAATCAGAAATAACTGTTATTTAAGGAGTAGTTAAATAAAAGTCAAAAAATAACTATCAAAGAGCACGAAGAACCGGAAACAGCAGAGCAAATTATATGCTACAGTGAAGCCCTCACCAGAACCAGACTTCCCTTCCTAGGATCACCGTGCCTAGAAGCGCACGACCTAAATGACATTCAGGCAAAAGACCTGGAATGTTTCTTCGTAATGGATGAAAGTAGTAGTGGATAAAAGAGGACCTGCCAATGCCACGGACTATACACGGTTTTTGTAATATAATTAAAACTCAAATGGGGTAGATTTCAATAGCTTAACTTTTGATAAATAAAAAGTTCGAAGTGAATATCACTAACATAAATTTACTTAGTTAATGAATAGCTCCAAAACGACTGATTAATCATGCAAGATATACCGTTAACCAGTGTGTCGCAGTCGTTTGCTGGAACGTGTTCTGATGGTGATAACGAAATCATTGCCTGGAATTTCTAACCAGCAACAGGATCAGTTGCTTAAGTCAAATTGTGTTGAGTGCTAGACAGTACAGGAACTCAGAGAGATAGATTTTTCAGAGAGAATCTCTCCAGCTGCAGAAATGAAAATCTCTGATGAGTAAAGCCAATCTAACCTCTGGTACAGAAAGCTTAGTTTCGGAAAAAATACCCAGTTCCCTGAAAGTTTATTATTATTGTCTGGATTGTCATGACAGAGTCAAGAAAACTTTGGTCACAAACAAGTTGCTAGCGACAGGATAGGTTATTCTAGGTAGGATTTTGTAGGATACAGCTAGCCCAGGCACTACTAAAAAGCAGCTCAGTTAAGGAAATCTTCCCAATACAAAAGTGATCATCTCAAAGGACACTATTATTCTGGAGCCAGTCCAGGCTCTAAGAAGATACACTTTTAAGGCTGTTGCAAGATCAATAGTGTCCTGGCGCTGCCAACGTAAACGTAATAGAGAAAATCTAATTAGCATCGGAGCTGGTTACCCAAGTCAAGATATTGCGTGGTAGTGCCAATCCAGCCACTACGAGAAATAACCGCCGTTAAGAGAATCTGTTCAGCGCCAGAGGTGATTATCTCTGATTAATTTTTCTAAGCTAGGGCTTGTTCATATTCTATTGGGTAAAAACATTTTTAAGAAAATCTATCAAGCGCTGGAACAGATTACACGGTGCTACAAACAAAAAAGTCATGAAATTCACTCGAAACAAAACCTAGTGTAGGTTGTAGGTATGGTCGAGTATAGTTCCTGAAGCCTCCATTTTTTTTATTAAAAAAAGTGGTTATTTTCGTACTTTATGCTTGACTGTTTTCCATCCGATTTTAGAAATCGAACAAGTTTTGAAAATAGGATTTATAGACCTTTAAAACGATGACATATAGACTTAGCTTGTAGGGAATTATCATCGGTAAAATTTTAATGAGCCCCTAGTTTCCTTCATTTTTTGACTTTTGATCATCGCTAATTTCAAAAGTTTCTATGTTGTATATGTATATCTAAAAGAACATTTGTTTTCGAATAAACTGATACTTTATCCAATGCAATTGCATAAAAATTGTCGAAGTTAAGCAATTTAAGCAAAAATACGGCCTTGAATTGATATACCGGGCGTGCAGATATTTTGAGCGGCGTGGCTAAGGGGATCATCAAAATTGATATATACAATGGCTCTTACGCAAAAAATTTACTTTTCATAAAATTTCAGGAAAATGGGTGTGGCACTACCCACATATGTCATACATATAAGCGTATCTCAAAAACTACTTGACCGATCTCGACCAAATTTGACATACACATTATGCTTGCTCTCCGTGTTGAATTTTTTGAAAATCGGACAAAAAAAAAACGTGCTGCACCCACATAAAGGTAATTTCAAAAACTCTAGGCTAGTTATATTTCAGGGGGAGTACGGTTTGTCCGATTTAAAAAAAACATCAACACGGTGCTTAAGGAGGCTAAACTCAATGTGTATATCAAGACCGGTCAAATAGTTTTTGAGTTAGGCATATATGATATACATATGTGGGCGTTGCCACGCCTATTTTACTAAAATTTTATGAAACATAAATTTTCTACTTAAGAGCCATTGTATATATCAATTTTGACTAAATATTGATGAACTCCTCAGCCAAACTGCTCAAAAAATCTGCATGTCCGGTTCATACACTATATAAATTCAATGCCGTATTTTTGCTTAAATAGCCATAGCTACAACCTACACTAGGTTTTGTTTCGGGTGTATTTATGCATTTTTTTGTAGCACCGTGTTATCTGCAAAAAAGAATTTCATACCCGAACCCGTTTTGGCACCGTCAAGAAAATTTCAATTACAGAAATCTAGCTAGGCTCTCGACGGAATCAGGGTTTTGTCTAGAAAATGTCCGGCCGGGTATTTTTTGTTTTGGCCAAAGGAAAAAAAGGAAAGAAGATTCCTTTAAGGTAATTTTAATAACTAATATCTTGGGTAGGATTTTTTTCCGTTTATACATACATCATTATATAAATAGGCAATCATGTTTCCTTTACACCCCTTTTACGGCTAAACTATACTTCTAAGGTATAAACAGTTATATATCATTAGAAAGGTATTTTGATGCTGATGTGCAGGCAATTTTTAAAATTTCAAATCAGTTTAAAATAGAGCGAAAAAATCAATTCAAAAGTCACACCAATACCAATGCACACATGTACATGGTTGGGGCGGAAATGCCCCCTAAATGTATGCTTTAATATTGATAGCGAATTAAAGAAACGTGCTAAGCAGCAGTTCAGGAATAAAATGTATGTATGTATGTACATGAACAGATTAGACTCAAACAAGGAAGAAGGTAAAGTTGAGTATGGAGAAGAAGAAAGTGATAAATACAGAAATTAAAATAAAAGTAAAGAAACCTAGATATAAAGACAAAGAGGAAGGAAAATTTAAATACCTAACCTAATAACAATGGTGGCGGTGAATATGTAAATGAAGAAAAGAATGGACATATTTAGATCAGGATAAAGGAAAAGATAAAGATGAAGACCTAGACGACGAAGATGAAGATGAAGATGAAGATGAAGATGAAGATGAAGATGAAGA